GCCCGGCCGCCGCGGCCGTCTGGCACCAGCAGAACGCGGCCCGGGAGGGCTTGGGGACGCGAGCGCCGGCTTCTAGGCTGCTTGCGTCACAATAAAGCTGAGGCCATTCCCCACGCCGGGAATTCGGGGGGCTGCCGAGAAGGGAGGGGGCTGCCACGTGACTTCAAAGGGAGGCCCTGAGGGAGAAGGAGGAAGAGCAGGCGGAGAGGTGATGGTGGTGGTGGTGGTCAAGTGAAGGCGCTCGCTCCTGCGAGGCTGAACGTCTGGAGCTTCCCCACCCACCTAGCTCTTGATGCTGAAATAGCCCCTTCAAGCCCCCTCCTCCGGCCGCTCCTCACCGACCACGCGTTCCCGTCTCCCCTACTCATTCGCCTCACTCTCACTTCTTTTCGCTCTTCTCCCTCCTCCCCCACCCTGCCGCTCATTTTTTCCTCTCGTCACAGGTCCTGTGGTGCCTCTTTTCCCTTCTGTCGTTCCTTTCCTTTCCTTTGACGAGCATTCCTTTGCTCTCCTTCCGTCCTCGCTGCCGTTTCCCGGCTTCATTTCTCGCCCATCCCCAGTTCTCCCTGACCCATTTTGCCCGTGCTCCCATCTGACAGCTGATGTCCTTTTTCTTCATCTGTGGCTTCTTTCTTCATCCTCTCCGACTTTATTCCTGTGTGTGTGTGTGTGTGTGTGTGTACAAATACATACTTTCTGTAGACATTTTTCTTGCTTCTTTTGTCCTCTTCAAAATACTCTCTTGCTTTTCAAAGCTGCTTCTTTCTCCACCTATCCTGAACAATGGTAGCCCCAAAAGGAGAGAAGCCAGCTTCCAGCACCACTGCAGCTCTGAGAACCTAAAGGGTTAATAAACTTTTGTACAGAGCAAAATGTGTTTTCTGTGCCAGATCAGATGATAAATAAAAGGAGTTTATTTCCAGTGGAAATTAAGAGTACATGAGAATGATACTGCTTTGTTTGCTTCTAAATAAATATTGACTCTTTTGTTTATTTAGTACAATTTATCTGGATCATCTCTTGTTGCTTTAATGCAGTCATGTAAGGTGAGGGTGGACAGAATAAATACATGCAGATAAATTATCTCTCCTTCCCATTATACTTAATAATTAACTTTGGGGTTCATGTTCAGACAGAAAGCTTGGAAATGATCCTGGTAAATGTGCTGTACTTTATTGTGTAAATGCTTGATATTAAGGCCCATGTGATATGAACAGATGATGGACCAGCAAAAACTCCCTGAAAAAAGACTGAAGGAAGGAGTAGTAAAAGAAGAGGAGACAATGGATGATAAGATGGATCAAAGAGATTATAGGACTGTCCTTGGAAAAGCTATAGATTTTTGCCAAAGACATTTTGAGATGGTCAGCATTTAGTTACCAGGAGTTAGCATGTGCCAGACCTGTTGCAACCTAACTACTATAGAGCAAAAGGTGGGGGGATTTTTTTTTTTTTTTTAACTATAGTCTGGGCAAGTTCAGTCCTAAGCATAGCCCAGTTAGTAGGAAGAGAGAAAGAGATAATAAAATGTGGATCATGGGAATGGCAGTTGTGTCCCCCTAATACTGCTGAGCAACTGCATCCAGCAGCCCCAGCCAGAATGACCAATAGTGAAGGAAGCTAAGAGCTGTAGTTCAGGAGTATCTGATGGGGCTGGTTTTCCAACCCAGATGAGATCATGTTGAGGAAGTTGCCAACACTTATTTTGCTGTTGTCTGTGTGGTGTTTCCAGATAGTGTAAGATTCTGTAAAATGTGTGGAGTCAATGAGAAACAGATCATTTGATAGTCTGAAAGAAAAAGAGGATACACACCAATAGGACTTACAGATGAAAACAAAAACAAAAAGAAGAGTATGTTATTCCATGCATCAGTTCCTATGTTCCTTAGCTCTAGCAGACTTTTCCTAGGCAGGGATAGGAGGAATCAATAAGCAAGAGAAGCAGGCAGTTCAATTATCAGGGGAGCTTAAATTTCCCCATGGGGGTTAGGGGTCCAGTGCTGTTGACATTAGATGTGGAATAAAAAATGAGTAAAGTCTCTGAGTGCTATGCAAGCTATGTATGCTATGCATGCTAGGTATTAGGGAATCTAAACTGGTGTAAAATTATAATGTGTTAGTTCCCTCTGGTATAAAGTACATACTGTACATGCACACTATACTGTATTGTTCTATCTATTAATGAGACAATGGGAAATGTACATAATTTTCCTTTTCTTGGTTCCATTTGTTTTCCAAAGAAAATAATCCATCCCCTTCACAAAACAGAAGAAAAACAGATGATAAAGGGAGGAGAGAATTCTTATGAGTTTACTTTGGATTAATAAATTACACCAGGGCACTTTGGAAAAGTAATGAGTTTTGAAAAAAGATAAAACATAAAAACAACCCATATAATAAACCATCATCATCCTTCTCACCACAGCATGAAATAATCCCCTTCCAATATAAAAATATATAAAAGAAGAAACAGCAACAGCCCGGGCACCATTATTCTTCAAAAACCCACCCAAATATAAGATTTTTACAGCCTGGCAAAATGTCAGCAACAAAAGGCACAGGTGTACCCTTGGGGGTAAGGCGTTCAAAAGTGTTGGGGCTACCACAGAGGTCTGCCCTTTGAGTAGGCTCTTTTTAGATGACCTGACAGGATAGGCATAATCATTTTGGAGGAGGTGGTTCTAATAGGACCCTATTTAGAGTAGTTTTGTTGAAATCAAGGGGAATGAAATCATTCAGTTCAATCTCATTGATTTCAATAGACCCTAAGTGTAATTTTATCTAGATTTCACCATCATTGTTTTATACTTTAAAAAAAAAAAAAAAGCCCTCAGCTACTCTAGCCATCCACCAAATTAGAAAAGATATTATTTTATTTATTTATTGGATTTATAATGTACACCTTTCCAACCAAAAAGAACATTCAACTAATAAGAAAAATAAATGAAGTACAAAAACAAATGAAACCTTCTTTAACATTTAATTAAAGAACAAGAGTTTTAAAAATGGAATTATTCAAAAAGCTCAACTGGAATTACATGTTGAAATCATTCTTTTAAAACACAGAGAGAGTAGAGTTCCAAAGCAACTTTAGGAACAACGTAGGGCTAGGTGCTAAGAATAGGCTACTATAGTGAAATCTTTCAAAATCTTTTTGAAATTCATTAAAATCATTAAAAAGCTGGGTTTTCAGATTTAAAGCCATAGATATAGAAATCTTTGTCTAATAACATTAGCATCAGAACCTATAATATGGATATGTTTACACAACTTTCTTCTGGGCATTATCGCAGGTGAAATCTGATGCATATGGACAATACTTGGTTGAAAAAAACTGCAAATAAGGATCTAGCAAAGCTCAATTTGAGGAATTAATTCTAGAAATATAAGAGCATAACCTAGCTCTTATATTTCTATAAGATATGAATAGTAATAGAGAGCATGATTACTTTCATTGCATGCCAAGTGTTTTACTTCAAAAAACATAACTAAGTTCGTATGCAGGGCTATCGTACTTTGGGGCATACTTAAGTCTAAATGTTTCTCACTATAGAAATTAAAAATTGGGCTTTTAAAATCAAGTATTTTCAGGTGGACATGCAATATATGATTCTGGGAGATCAGCAATGCCTTTTTTGGAGTGTATTACACTATCTAAGATAAATAAGATAGTGTATTACACTATCTGTCATGCCATCTAGACTTGTCCCCTCCATTTGTATTAGATATGCAAATGCAAACATAATGACCAGCATTAGGTGAATATGATATAATCAGTAAAAATAATTATTATTTTCTACCTCTAATGATTCTCCCACCAGCTGATTATGCTGAAAATGTATGGCAGAATCTTTGTAATAGGCATAATGATAATTGTTTATCTCCCTTGCTCCCATCCAATATGCAAACTATCTTTTCACTGCATGTATTGTTTTTGTCCACTGAATCCAATAAAATAGTAAACAAGAACCTACAGAAAAATAACTCTTCACAGTACCTGTATAACATAACTATTGCAGAATAAATGAAAAAGGGGGAAAGAAGATATGGAAAACATATGGTCCCTCACTGCTTTTCCAGTCAGCTTTGGCGCAGAACATGATATCTGAAACCCATACAGAAGAAGCACTAAAATACAAAGGATATCTACTACATGCAAACATTGACAACAACATTCGACTCAATTCAATTCGATTCGATTTTTGCCTGACTCCAAATAACTCTGGGCGAATCACAGTATAACAAAGAAAATAAAATACAAATACAGTTCAGAAACATAACCAGGTTCCCCCTGCACACACACACACACACACACACACACAAAACAAGTTGGGAAATCCAGCCAAAAATACAACTCACAAAAGTCTCCAGTCACCTTAGCCAAAGGTCTGGGAAAAGAGCCAGGTCTTCAATCCTTCTGGAATGCTATCAGGGTGAAAGCCATTTAGATTACAAGGGGAACTTCATTCCAGAGGGTAGGCACCATGACAGAGAAGGTACATTTCCTGAATCCCAGAAGATGACACTGTTTAATTGAAGGGACCTGAGGGACACTCACTCTGTCAGTTCATATCAATCAGGAGGACATCACAGGAGATAGACAATCACTCAACTAACCAGGGCCTCTGCTGTATAAGGCCTTATAGGTCATAACCAGCACCTTGAATCATACCTGGAAGGAGACAGGCAGCCATCAGCCCTTGCAAAGCATAGGTATCACATGTGCATACCAAGGCATGCCATCATTGCCTTCACCACTATATTCTGAACCAGTTGAAGTTTCTGAGTCTCTTCAAGGGCAGTGCCACATAGAGCGCATTGCAGTAGTCAAGTAGTCAAGCCCTGAGATGACTAGGGCATGAGTGAGTGTCTGAAGGGCAGCCCAATCCAGGACAGGACACAATTGGTCCACTCCCCCATTACCAACACTGACTGGAACTGGCCCCAAAGGAAGAAGCTGTGCAAAGGCCTTCTTGGCCATAGCTGCCTCCTGCTCATGAAGAATACCCCCAGATTGCATACCACCCTTGAGTGGGGAAGTACAACCTCATCCAAGATCAAAGTTGGAATCTTCCAGGATCTAGGGTCCCCTGACAACCACAGCCACTTGGTGAGATTATGCTGAAGACAGTTCTTCCCCATCCAGGTCCACACAGCCTCCAGGCAATGGGACAGGCGTTGGCAGTTTCATTCAGTCTGGAGTCAAAAGATATAATTGGATATCATCAGCACACCAATAATACCAAATCCCAAATTAGCAGATGACCGCATAGAGCAGTTTCATGTAGATGTTGAATAGGAGGGGAGAGATTACAGGTCCTGAGGCACCCCACAAGGAGGGGTATAGGGAGTGATCTCTCCCCCTTACCAACACTGACTTCAACTGGCCCCAAAGGAAGAAAGAACCACTGCAGAATGGTGCCCTGAAGTCCCAATCCCTGGAGCCTATCCAGATGGATATCATGGTCAACAATATTGAAAGCCATCAAGAGATCAAGAAACACAAGGATGAATGCATCATCTCCATCCCAGCTTTGCCAGAAGTCATCAACAAGCAAAGGGAAAGTTGAAGATGGGATGAGAGTTATTCAGGACTGTTGAGAAGGGGGCATACCACCACCTTTTTCAAGGACAGAGCTACCACACCTTCTTCAAAGAGGCTGACACCACAGCATGGACGGCCTTCATGTCCCAGAAGGCACCTGGGTCCAACAAACAGGTGGACAAGCTCACAGTGCAGAGAATCTTGTCTATTTCCTCAGGAGTTTATGGTTGGAACTCATCCCAGATCACACCACATGACTGCACCAAGCATGTTAGCTGGACCTCCCCAGTTGGAGTCCAACTTGGAGTGGATCTCAGTGATTTTATCTGCTAGGTAGCCAGAATATTCTTCACAGTGGCCCTGGTTCTGTGGCCCATCCCTGGCCAGTTGGAGTTGGGTTACCTGAAATAGGGCTACTGGACGGCTATCAGTGGACAAAATAAGGATGATGAAATATTGATGTTTTGCCATCCTTATTGCCATGAGGTAATCCCTAATATGGGCCCTTTATCTGTGTTCAGTCAAACTCACTCCAAGTCTTTCTCCAGCCTCACTCCAGGCATCTCTTCTTGCACTTCATCTCCTGGAACTTCTCAGTAAACCAAGGTATGCCCCATGATCAGAGCACAGAGAGAGGCCATATAAGGGTGAAGTGACCCAGCCATCTGCCTGTTACCAGCAGATTAACTAGGCTTCAGCCAAAACACCCACAGATTCTTGGGGGAAACCCCATGCTGCTTCTGAAACTCCACAGGGTCCATCTGTCACCTGGGGTGGCTGATTGAAGGGGTCCTATCTCCACATGGAAGAGGGTGAGGCAATCAGAAAGTAATCTATCCATGACAATGGACTAACATTAATGCCCTCCACTATCAGATCACATTGCATTAAACAAGAGTGAGATTGATTTTTATTTTTTTTTAACTACCACACTATTTAAATCTTATAAAATATTCAGGAAGTGAAAAGAAAAAAATGTTTTAAAATCAGATGAAATGGGACCAATGATACATCTACAGTATATGAGATTACTCAGCTCAGGAAGAACAGTAACACATTTTGATTATGCCATAGGACAGGTATGGGAACTTGAGGCTTGAGGATTTCACTTGGCCCATGAATCTCCTTTTTGCAACCCCTGAAAGTGCTTCTGACCCTAGTTGGTGAAAATCAGTGATTCTTTCCCGCTACTCTGAAACGGGGAGTACTCAAAAACGTTTCTGTAAGTGTTAAAGGCTGTCGTAATTAAAAATAAAGAAACCCCAGTTTCCCTTGGATCCAAGAACTCCCTTCCAAAATATCCTGGTCTTAGTTACATTATATAACTACCACACCCACTATAGCCTCTGCCAACCAAAAAATGTTGACTCCCAACAATTAAGAGGTAGTCCATTACCTCTATACGAGGTTTGAAATAAAATCAGTTTTTCACAGCATGAATACATGACTATGATAATCTATAATCTCCAAAAATTAGTTGGATAACAGGTAACATATAGTGCAAGGAGAAGTGCAATATAAACTACTACACATAAGTGATTTTTATAAAAAAAAAAGAGAACCAACAATGAAGATTTGTTATGTCTCAGAGGTCTCATTTGTGACTTTCTCATAGGCATCAGGCTGGCAGAGTCATAGAAACAAATGCCCAACAAGACGATATGTGGTCTACTTCAGCAAGGCAGATTTTATATTATAAGAATATTCTTGTATTATAATGAATATTATAAAACATGAATTACCCTGCTGTAAGCATTAGACTAAAAATACCTGAAAATGCCCAACAGAATTCATACACATCTGTTTAAAATAAAGCCATGTTTCTTGGCTTCGTGAAGACCTTGGAAAGCGCACATCTTGTTTCCTTCCAGAAGATACAGATGGAATTGGTGGCACCACTGAAAGAGAGAAAGCACACTTCCGTTAACCCAATTGTAACTTTCTTTGTTAGAGAACCATATTTGTGCAGCACTGAGGATTACCAAAAATTAGAAAGTGTTACTTTATGTCCAAAATTTCTCCATGTATATTGTGCACTGTCAAATGTAAGCCAAGTGGTTATTGTGCTTACATCTTGCACTCTTCGGTTTGTAGTAAGAAAAATTTCATAGTGGAGTTAGCTTAGTAACTGATATCATTTCAGACTAAAATCATATGGAAATGGGAAAAATATTGTGTTAATAAGTGTTTTGGCTGGCTTGAATGGACTTTTAAAAAGTATTAAACTATGTTCTCATGATTTATATTTTAATTACACTCTGTTTTAACATGTTTTCCTGTCTAGAGGCCAGATTTTTTTTTTCCATGTGTCTCATGCTTTCTTAAATTTTCTTGTTATATATGCATTCTTTGTTATTTTTTATAGTTTAAAACAAAAATCGGACATTCTGATGAGCAAATGCTGCTGAAATTCTATTATCATGGGATATGAGCTAAAATTAATGTTATGCATAATTTTGATCTGACAATACAAGTAGATGAAATGCCTACTACCCTACATAGATTGCATATAGCATAACGAGGAATACTCTTTTTGCTTCTTTGTACTTCATTCCATATGGAACACCTTAGCGATTCATTTCTTGGCCTTCCTATTGAATAGTACAATGAAGACCATAAAGGTAATGGCAAATCATGCTATATAAGTGAACTTAACAGCTAATTTATTTCACATTGTCTTTTGAACATCACTAAATGATGGCTGGCTTGAATGGACTTTTAAAAAGTATTAAGCTATGTTCTCATGATTTATATTTTAATTACACTCTGTTTTAACATGTTTTCCTATCTAGAGGCCATACTACTACAATCAGACATGGTTGAAGGTTCAATATTCTGTAGTAGTAACATGAGAAGTAAAGGCAACTGTCTATAATAGCATCTTTTAACTACCCATTGCATTTAATATACAATCATCCTATTATGGGAGCTGCCTGCGTTTCCAAAAACCCAAGTGCTGGGAATTAGCTAAAGCTGCATTTTGAGGGAGAAAGAAAAAATGCTTTGCTAAAATTCATCCTGAAAATATTATATACTGAGAGGTGCCGAAATATTCTGCAAGGTTTATTTTGGAAACGTCCAACTAATGCTGTACTCCTTGACAACACACTTTCACACTTGTACATATATAGAGATTAAATAACTATTTGGGGTATTTGAAATGCATTTGCTTAGGTGGGTTGGGAAGGGTGGTTTTTTGGGGAGGTAAGGAATGCTGGTCAGCTGTGTGTAATTAACTGGTTTTGAAAGGAATGCAGATCAACTACAAAACACCATGTCACAAATAGTGAGGCTTGCTTTGAGAAATCAGGGGGTATGAAAAGAAAATAATTGCAGAACTATAAATACAATTACAGTTTAAATGGTGCCATTTATGCAAATATGTGCTAAGTTTTTTTTTTAACTGTTTTTCAAACTTGGCAACTTTGAGATGTGTGGACTTCAGCTCCCAGAATGCATGCTGGCTGGGGAATTCTGGGAGCTGAAGTCTGCACATCTTAAAGTTGCCAAGTTTGAAGAACACTGTTTTAAAAGATGTGATAAATTTCAGTAGAAACCAGTAGTCATGGTTTCATCTCTCAGTGACAGTTACAGAACTGTTACTCATATGGCTAATAGCAATTCACTGCAGCTGAATTTTCATAAGAATTATAGAAGAGACTGTATTCTGCAAGATGATCTGCAGATTTCCGACTTGCTTACAACACACTTATTGAAATCCCAAGGACTAACAGCTCATGTCACATGTATCCAGATGTAAGTCTTTTTCTGACATGCACAATTTAAGACAAAATTTCTTTTCCCCCAATTTACTGAACTTCACTATCCATTATATAGTTATTTAGAATTTTATCTATCTGAATATATTATCTGCTTTCCAGGTTATACTAACCTCATTAAATATAATTTCTCCTTATCCAAACATCTGATTACTCAAATACTTTGGATATCACTCAAGTCATTTGGATACAAGAGCTATTTGGCAGGATTGATTTTGAAACACATGAAAATGGTGTTTCAATTTCAATGGTGATGCTAATGGTGATGCTGCAAATTCAATGAAGAGAGGAAAATTAGAAGGTTGGCTGATGTAAAGAGTGACATTTTATGACTGCATGTCCTGTGTTCATTATATTAGCATGAAAAGAGAATCCTTGCAAGATTGTGTACTATGAAAATGTTGAGGACAGTATAACTTTATTTCAGTGATCCAACACTAAAGTCAGAATGAACCATTATACTGAGAAAGCAAATATGGATCAGCCCTAGAAATTAATCTCCCAGTATGCACACTTTATGAATGGTTAAGTCAACACTTTAGGTAATAAAGGAGAAAAAACAATAAATGATATTAACTATAAATAAAGCATTATGTTTTTAATCTATATGAGAAGCAAAAACTGTAATCTGAGAAATGTTGGATTCAATCATATATAGATTTGGCACTTAAAAGAGATTTTTACGAGAGAAGACAAATCAATTAGTATTGCATCTCATGCAATAGTCCATAAAAAGTTATGTTATAATAAATCTGATAAATCTTTACGATTTCAGAACTCTTCATTGTTTTATTTTTTCTTAATGTTTATTTTGCAGATTATTTTTTTGGCTCCAATAAAATCTATATACAAAGAAATCTAAAGCCTCATATTTAATTTCTGCTGTATTATTTATTGTTTTAAAGTGGCTTTTTTGAGGATACTGCAATGCAATTTTTTTCTTTTCTTCCATTTCTAACTTGAAACAGATTTGACACACTGCATTGTGAAAAAAAATCTGATTTTTTTTTTCCTTTATGGAAGAATGTCCTTGAAGAGAAGAACAGACATTATTAACCCCATAGGCATCTTCTTCCCAACTTGTGGCATGTCACACAAGTTATTCAAGGGCAGAAATGTTCAATTTTGTTATAGTTCAGAGCCACACTTGGTCTTTCCATAACATGCTTGGGGACCACATTCCAAACAAGGAGATGGGTCCAAGACAAAACAGTGGACAACACCAAGGCAAAATCCCATTGGACTTAAATTAAATTGGTTAAATGTGGTTTTACATAATAGCTTCTCACATTGTTAATAATTTTCCCCTTGTTATTTTAAACATTATAATTCAGTAACAACTTATGGAAGGCCTATAAAGTTGGGAAGTAGGATCTTCATGGACTTCTGGAAATTCAGACTGTGCATCCCTGTTTTGGGAAGGAAAAGGACAAGCCTTGGAAAGCAGGATTGATTTCATTGCCTTTACATTGCCCATTTCTATCTGCCAAAGAGAAAAACTGGTATGTAAGTTATTGCCTGGATGTCAATATCTCCCTAACATTTGCATGACTGGTCAATGAACTGAAGTGGCAGCAGATCTGGGCATCCATCTTCTTATAAATTCTATGCAGATTTTCCATTCTGACATTAAAAACACACACCTACTTACACTTGTATATTATTCTGTAAAGTAAAATATTGTACACATTAATCAAGATTTTTCACAATCTCCTCCATGTTCTTACTTTGCTCAGCATTTTTTTGCACTGTGAGTGAAATATGTTGCCCGGTTTAGAGAATAGCACCAAAGCTTATTGGAATGAATGCGGTTTTTGCCAGTTTCAGAACTGTAACATCATATTTAAAATTGCATGCAGATCTAGAGGGAGAGAATATTTACAGACTCCTTGTTGTTTTTGCCATTAGATTAAGAGAACAAAGATGACAATTTTGTTTGAAAAAGGCTGTTACTGTAAAACCACTAGATGCTTCAGCACGGAGTCATTCTTTTTCCTTTACATTACAGCAAACAGTACCATGAAAGCGCTGAAAAATAAATCTACCATTCTAGAGTAATGAAACTGCTGCATCTGAAGAGAGCTAGGAGATTAAACTCCTGGGACTGCAGTAAAAATGAATTATATTTCATACCATGGTTTGCCTTGGCCACACAGGTTTCAATGTTGCAGAATTTTCAATTGGTATTATAAACAAGGGATCTGAATGCATTCATCATTTACGCCATCACTAATCACTGACAACCCAGAGGGGGAGTTGTCAGACTGGCAAAGTGAGGTCCAAGAGTATGGGAGATGAGATAAGTAATACAAGGATAATTAATATGAGACCTATTTACCCACCTGATCAAAAGATAAGAGTGTCTGATGGCCAGAGCAACAGAAAAAAGTGTTTATTGACATGAGCTTGTAGGCAACATAGCTTGGATCTACTGTTTTCATGTATGCTTGTACATCGTGAAGTCTGGGGGACTTCTCTGGAGGACTCTCTAGAGGAGATGGGCAGCATAAAAATTTAATAAATAAATAAATAAATAAATAAATAACTGTCAGCGTAGCTGCTTTCAGTCGTTAAACAGGACTTCAGATGCTTGCTTTTCACCAGGCACATCTCCAGTCATATTCAGTAAAACCTTGGGTAGTTTTAACATGGCTTAGACCAATCTTAATCAGTTTTTTTAAGATTTATTTATTTATTTATCATATTTATATAGCCACCCATCTCATACAAGGTGACTCTGGGCAGTGCACAACAATTAAAAAAATAAATACATAAAAACAACTACATATAAAAACCTGTAAAAACAC